GTGTTTTATTTTGCTTTAATTTTTTATCTTCATCACAATGGGCACAGCTCACAAATGCACTTGAGATATACCCCAATGAAAACCTATCCCCTACTCCTGAAATGATGCCACATTTTTATGACAGATGCAGGTGTGTCATACAGGCAGCACTATTACACTTTACTCTTTTCCATCAGGACATAACATGACCACCCATACTACTAAGTTCTGAGCTCTGCCGGTCTAGAGTGATGGTGTCATGGTGAAGTGTACCCCTATTACATTTTGCTCTATTGAGTCCTAACTTTGAAACACAGTTCTTGGAACAGAATGCACACTAAAAGAATGAGTGGATGGAAGGTTGGACAGACAGATGGAAGGATGGAGAGAAAAAGCATCACACAGACTTACCTATAAAAAACTCAAAAAAGTTCCTTAAAGATGGTTTTCTCAGTAGAGATACAGAGTCCCTTCGTATAATTTACTTATTTCAATACCATAAGAATCCTGGCAGATTTGCCCCTGCTGAGTATTTATATTTAATTAATACTGTCACTACACGGTCCCAATTTTCAATTAATTTATTTTGAAAAAACAAAAAGAACAAAGCTTCTTAACAAATGATTTACCATGTTAATTTAAAGGAAACAGAAATCAATACAAACCTAGTTAGCTTATCCCAATGCCTACAAAATAAAGAGAGAGAATTACACTTACATATGATGTAATAATCTTTGTTCTTCTGAAATTCTAAACCCCAGATGCTGTTGCTGAATTCTTGAAACTTGATGGTAAATTTCACATCTCAGTGTGGTCGGGAACAGTTGAACAGGGTTTTTTTTTTTCTTCTTAATAATGCATCTGTCTGCTTGGTCTTTATCAACCACATAAACTTTATAATACTCACACTGGCCAACAGTTTTAGAGTCCACTTTTGGGCAAATAATATCCAATTTGTCTCCTATCTGTGGGTATAGTACCAGGCCTTGTCCAGGTAGAAATCTAAAAAGCATAAAAGAAAAGCCACTGAGTTGGTAATAGTGAACACTCTTAAAGACAGGCATCAAAGAGCCTACACTACAAATCACCCCCCACCATGACATGTCAGAGCTATACTTTGGTTCACCAAGGGTGTCTTCATGGGACAAATGCTTTTTATTAATTTACCACAGAAAACAAAAGGATCAACTTTTCCCTTCTTTGAGCTATCAGGCTATCAGGCGGCAACAGTCTGCTGACACTGGTCCTTGCCTCTCCCCACCCCACCCCCAGGGCTTGTAATATTCCAATAATCTTTTGTGCAACTTTACAACTTTTCCCTCTTCCCTGGTGATGAGTCAGACATGTATAGTGGTCTCAAGGAACACAAAAACATACTTATGTCGCTCTGAGGCTCTGAGGGGTTTCATGGGGATTTCTTTAATCTACACTTAAATATAAATATTAAATCCAGACCGGAGGAGGAGGGGCTGCCTCTCAAAGAGGCTGTGAATTGATGTCCAATGTGGAGGGAGGTAGCTAGCCTGGTTAAGAGGGGAGGGGCGTGCCCAAGGCTAACATTCAAAAAGGAAGGGTGACTTCTGTAGGCACCCAGAGATAGCATCACCCTCAGCCACCATGGGGGCCCCAGTCTGAGTGGCAACAGCAGTGCTCAGGTCCCAGCCAGGCTACTTGGGGCAACACCAGTTACCTGTAGATCCCGTTTGGCTGCAAAGATGGCACGCCAAGGAAGGAAATATAACACTTACATTAAAACACAAAACAAAAATCTATACCAGACTACATCAAAGATAGCCGCAGTAACTTTTAAACATCTTTAAACTTTAAAACAAAGGCCTTCTGGCAACAGGCAAAAATATCTATTTTGGGTCATTTACAAGTGAAGAATTTTTGCCCTTTCGAAGGGGAACGTGTTTGGTTTGGTCAATTATGTCGGTGAATTTGAAATTTATCACTTTCAAGACAGTACCAGCAGTTCTTTGCTTATGGGGTAATTTCTAAATCAATGCTTTCATCTCTACTCTGAAGCCACTCACCATACCCTCAACTCCAATTAGGCCATTGACTTTGCTGTTAATCTCCAAGGTCTACCTCCAAGCCAGGAGCCACCCAGCGTCTCCATACTCTCCCATGGCTGAGACCAGAATTCCCCACAGCACTTTCAGGCCATAGATGGAACAACGTGCGGTTCCCGAAAACCCTGGCCGCAAATCCCAAAGGATGGCTGGCATTTTCTAAACCATAGCGCACCCTGGGAACCCAGACCTAAAAAGTTAGTCTCAGGCCTGACTTTCTCCCCTTCGTTCGCTTTGCTAAGAACATCTGGGAACAAGACACTAGCTACACCCAAATACGAAGGCTGCAGAGTTGACTGGGCAAGTCTCTAAGCTTTCCCAAAACGCATTGTTAAAATGGAGCCAGCACTCCGGACCTCACAGAGGCTGGGCCACCAGTGGCAACGAGAAGGGAGAGGCGAGGTTGCAGAGGGCGGGAAGCCCGAGTTCTCCCAGGAGCCAACGAGCTCCACTGCACACGTCCTGGCTGTGGAGCAGTCTCGGATTTACACCGGCTCCCTACACTACGGGCCCACTGTCCCCTCCTGAAAGGGACGATCCAGTAACCCAGACCCTGAATTTCTGTCGCCTTCCCGCGGGGCCCCGGCAGGTTGCTCCCGCGCTCCACAAGATCACAGCATCTCTAACGCGTTCCAGAGCCCGCCCGTGGATGCACATCTGCAGCACCTTTAATGGAGAAGTCCTTCATTCTCCAAAAAGAAAGGAGGTCCAGGTAGAGTCATCAGACGCCTTTCCTGATTTGCCACCCGAGTTGCCAGGGCATCGGGCACCCAGGAGTACTTGAGTTTGGAGCCCCAGGAAGAGCCCTTTGGAGCCTGAGCTCTCAAGTCCAGTCCGCCCCCACCTAGAGAATGGTGGCGGGGTGGGGACTGGGGCACCTCAGGCTCTAGAAACAGACTCCGGGCTTCCTCCTAACAGGACCACACAGCGGACCCCAGTGCCCGGTGAGAAGAAGAGTTTGTGGACGCCACTTACGTGGAGTTGGAGGAATTCCAGTAGATAAGCTCTAAAACTATCGGTCTGGAGATCGCAGTTCTGCATAAAACCATCCAAAGTCACCAACAGAACTTCCACAAGGAGTCTCTCCTGGAGCAGGACATGGCCATGGCCAAGCTGTTCCCTGTTCTATGCACCCCAGGACGAGTGTGATGCCTATGCCCATGGTAGATGCCTTCCAGCCTCTGAACCAGGGCCTCTTGGACTGATTATGGCACCAAAGTGATCCCCAGCGGGCTGAACCATAGTCAGGATGGACTCGCAGGCAGGGCTAAGCTTTGCATCCCACCCGCAGTGCCTGCCTGACTGGCGCCAATCCCCACAGCGCTGCCTATTTCTGTTGCTCTCTCCATGCATCTCCCCTTCTCCACTTCCCACCACCCCCAAGATCAGAGCCTCCAAAGCTCACTGCAGACATCTGGGTGGAATTTCCTTCCCTAACTTGCAGAGCCCCTCTAATACATAGAAAATCCTTTAGAAAGAATTTTGGGGAGGCCTGCTCCTCCAATATGCAAGCCCTTAGCATCTCTCTCTGCATCGGTGGCCACAGCTCAGAAAACTATATTATTAAAGATCAAAACAGTGAGTAAACATAAGTCACCACTCCCTCACTAACACATAACAGAAGACACTCCTCTCCAGATGCTAGACACGCATAATACTGCTTGCCTCCTCTCCCCCAGACAAGTCAATGCTTGTAATCCTCCCTGCTGCACACCCAAGTATAGTGTTCCCAACGAACACAAAAACATACTTATGTCTCTCTGTGGCTCTGAGGGGGTTCATAGGAATTTCTTTTGTCTACACTTAAATATAAATATTAAATCCAGACCGGAGGAGGAGGGCCTTTCTCTCAAAGATGCTGTGAATTAAAGTGCAAAGTGGAGAGAAGCAGCCAGGCTGGAGAAGGGGGGATGGGCGCGCCCATCACTAACATTCAGAAGGGAAGGGGGACTTTTGTAGTCACCCCGAGCTAGTTTAACCCTCAGCCACCACGGGGACCAGAGTTTGAGTGGCAATAGCAGCACTCAGGTCCCAGCCAGGCTCCTTAGGGCACAACCAGGTGCCTGTAGATCCTGTTTGGCTGCAAAGACGACATGCCAAGGAAGCAAATATAACACTTACATTAAAACACAAAACAAAACAAAAATCTATACCAGACTACATCAAACATGGCCACAGTAACTTTAAAACAAGGGCCTTCTGGAAACAGGCAAAAATATCTATTTTGGTTCATTTACAAGTGAAGAAATTTTGCCCTTTCGAAGGGGAACGTGTTTGGTCAATTATGTTGGAGAATTTTAAATTTACATCTTTCAAGACAGTACCAGTAGTTCTTTGCTTATGGGCTAATTTCTAAATCAATGCTTTCTTTTCTACTTGGAAGCCACTCACCACACCCTCAACTCCAATTAGGCCATTGACTTTGCTGCTAATCTCAAAGGTCTGCCTCCAAGCCAGGAGCCAGCCAGGGTCTCCACACACTTTCAGGGCTGAGACCAGATTCCCAACAGCACATTCTGGCCATAGTTGGGAGATGAGATAATTGCAGCACCCAGTCGCTGGTTCCCAAGTCGCTGGCCACAAATCCCAAAGTATGGCTGGCATTTTCTAAACCAGAGCGCACCCTGGGAGCCCAGACCTAAAAGTTAGTCTCAGCCCTGACTTTCTCCCCTCCTTTCACTTGGCTAAGCCGAAGTCTGAACAAGGGATTAGCTACACCCAAATACAAAGGCCGCAGAGATGACTGGGCAAGGCTCTGAGCTTTCCCAAAACGCGTTGTTAAAAGGGAGCCAGCTCTCCGGACCTCTCAGAGGCTGGGACACCAGGTCCGACCCGAAGGGAGAGGCCAGCTTGCGGAGGGCAGGCTGCCTGAGTTCCCCCACAGCCAGCGAGTTCCCCGCGCACATCCTGGCTGTGGAGCAGACTCCGATTCATGCCGCCTCCAGGACACTGCGGGCCCACTGTCCCCTCCCCAAAGGGACATTCCACTGCCCCAGACCCCCCAATGTCGGTCGCTTTCCCTAGGGGTCCTAGCTCAAGTGCTTCCCAATAGCATAACATCTCTGCCGGCTCCAGAGCCCGCCCATTGATGTGCGTCTGCAGCCCCTTTAGGGCGAATTCCTCCGTTCTCCAAAAAGACAGGAGGACCGGGAAGAGCCATCAGAAACCTTTCTCGAGGTGCCACCCGAATCGCCAGGTTATCGGGCACCCAGGAGCACTTGAGTTTGGTGCCCCAGGAAGTCTAGCTGGTCCCCACGTAAGGAAACGTGGCGGGGTAGGGGTGGGGGACAGGCGCCTCGGGGTCTATAAACAGACTCTGAGGCATCCTCCCGCCTGGAAAACATAGCGCCCCCCCCCAGGGACAGGCCCGGGCCGGGTGAGCAAAGGGAATCATGGAATCCACTTACCTGGAGTTGGAGGAATTCCAGTAGATAGGCTCTAAAACTGTCGGGCTGGAGAACACAGAAAAGCATCAAAAGTCCACAAAAGCACTTCCACATGGACTCCCTCCTCCCTCCAGGAACAGGGCATGGCCATGGCCTAGCTGCTCCCAGTTCTGCGCACTCCGGGACAAGTGCGGAGCCTATGCCTGTGGCAGATGCTTTCCAGCCTCTGATCCAGAGCCTCCTGGCCTGATTATAGCACCAAGGGTTCTGGCGGCCTGAACCAGAGTCAGGATGGACTTGTCGACCCGCAGCTCCAAGCTTTGCATACCACGCACAGTGCCCACCTGACTGGCGCCAATCCCAACTCCGCTCCCCATTTCTGGTGCTCTCTCCATGTAGCTCCCCTTCTCCACTTCCTGCCACCCCCACAACCAGACCACAAAGCTCCACTGCAGACATGTGGGTGGAATTTCCTTCGCTAAGTTGCAGAGCGCTCTAATACATAGAAAATCCTTTAGAAAGAATTTTGGGGATCCCTGCTCCTCTGATATGCAAGCCCTTAGCCTTTAGTCTCTGGATCGGAAGCCACAGCTCAGAAAACTAGTGAGTAAACATCAGTCACCACTCCCTCACTAACACATAACAAACAGAAGACACTCCTCTCCAGATGCTAGACACGCATAATACTGCTTGCCCCCTCTCCCCCAGACAAGGCAATGCTTCTAATCCTCCCTGCTGCACACCCAAGTATAGTGTTCACAACGAACACAAAAACATACTTAGTCG